ATTGTACTATGATTAAGAGATGCATGATTTGTCATTGTACTATGATTAAGAGATGCATGATTTGTTATTGTACTATGATTAAGAGATGCATGATTTGTCATTGTACTACTAAAGTTTAGACTGCAGGCTTCCATCAGCAGCTTTCAATTTACACTTTGTGAATAAAAACCTACATGCACTCCAAACTACTTGAAACTTAGTGTCTGTCTTTGTTTTAGTGTAGAACATTAACTGTCAGTATGTATTTGTATTATTAGAGCGGATTTCGTATGAGTGGGACACCGTTACCGCACAGTTACCGAACCTGGCCTGCACAATTTTGGTGAACCAATGGGGCACTAGAATTTGCTTACAGTACGATTACGGTCACAGTACAGTACCATCCATTTCCCACTCTTATGAAATCCGCTCTATTAAAAATTTATTGTGATTGTGTTTATTTGTAAAAATTTCTTTCTACTTACTTGTGATAAGTCAAAAGGAAGATTAAGATAGCTGTGCATACTGATTAAGGAAATCAAGTAAGGAGTAGTACAAAGGCACCTTTTAATATTCCTCCACCATTCAACAACTCACCTTCAGGAATATTGTATGATCTCAGATAGTAGGTGTAAGGGTGACAACAAGACAGTACAAAGTGACTATGACATGCTACACTGATATATTACAATTTGCAGTTTATTGTGAGGCAATAGAGAGCTTAAGCATGAAGCTAAGTTCAGAGCAAATAGCAAATGGCAGAAAAAGATCATGAGGCCTGCTTTTGGGGGTTTTAGCGTTACAATTTCGACACAAGAGTGGGTTATTTTGGAGTTGTCACAATATCGTGAAAAGTCCTTCTTTCCAATGACTACCAAAAGCAATAGGTCAGGCACGAAATTCTTAGGTCATTGGTACAGCTCTGCCGTTAGCTGTTTGCCGTAAACGTGATGCTTAAACTCTCTATTATTAAGAGAAAGTACAAACTCATTTTGACAGAAAATTGGAACAAAACTGATTGTTTGTTTTGGTGGTTAGTATTATTGTTGTTTGAAAGGATACTGATCAACAAATGTCCAGTTTTGTTCAGGATCCAAGACTTCTAGTAGAGCTGCAGCAGGATCACCATGGAGACTTTTACTCTACAATTATTATATAAAAATTTGCAGTTTATGGTGTAATTTTATCTGTTATTACTATAGCACTAAAATGAAGAGTTGTGTTTAAATATGGTGTGCTCATTGTTCTAGTGTACGAGGTAGTGTTACTAGTAAGTGAAGTGTTCTGTAGTATAGTGCAGTGTTTTGGTATGGTGTAGTGTGGATTGGTGTAGTGTGGTATGGTGTCTTGTAGTGTGGTTTGGTGTAGTGTGGTATGGTGTAGTGTGGTTTGGTGTAGTGTGGATTGGTGTAGTGTGGTATGGTGTCTTGTAGTGTGGTATGGTGTAGTGTGGTATGGTGTCTTGTAGTGTGGTATGGTGTAGTGTGGTATGGTGTCTTGTAGTGTGGTTTGGTGTAGTGTGGTTTGG